TCAACAAGACCATAAGATTCCATAATTTTGGAGTTTGTTTCCATCCAATATTTGAATGAATTCCAAGTCACTTCAACCTCTTATGGGTTTATGCTGGTTAAGGTTCTTCTTTAAACCAGTTTTAGAGCATTCTTGACACGTACCCCAAAATGGTACAATAAATCGTTCAGAGGAATGTGTTGAATGTCTTCTTTGGAAAGGTATACCAGAGGTTTCATAGCATATGGACACAAATCCATGTCAGGTACAACAATAATCTTTAAAATCTCTTCTTCAGAAAGGGGGGAATCTTGATTTTCAACAAGACCTTCTGCAGACCGGGATAGGTGGTTGCATGGAGGGGAGTTAGTGTTAATACTTTTAGGAGTTTATGATGAAGTTCAACAAAGAATCTTAGGATTAGAAATTTTGTCTTAGAACTTAAGATTTATTTTATTTTGTTTCTAAAATAATTGTACCTTTTAAACCTGTTGGTTATCAATCAAAGTTTATCCTTATTTTCTCTCTATTACCTTTTTAATTTCTGACAAAGGGGGAGAAAGTAAAATGATATTTTGATAGTGTTTATTCTCAGAATATTAAACTCAAACATGTATAAAGTTGTTGCTACTAACTGTTTGTTTGATGTTTTTTATCTAGTAACTCTAAACAAGTTCGCTGAGTTTATTCTAAGACACGTTGAAGATGAAGATCCTAATGCAAAGGTTGAAAACCTTATGGATAAAGTCAACTCTGATTTTATACAAAAGAAGTTGTACAGTTTGTGAATATATGAATATTCAAACAGATGTACCAAACACAATTCAGAAGTTATAAAATTACTGAAAGTAAGGTAATATTGCTCGATATCATAGTATTCAAAAGTTTTTAACTTTTTAAAAGTATGAAATTCAGACAGGTTGAAGAAGAAGATCATGATGCAAAGGTTGAGAACCTTATGGATGAAATAAACTATGATCTCATACAGAAGATGTTGTATATCTTATTAGTATATGGATATTCAAACAGATCTACCAAACATAATTTAGAAGTTATAAACTTACTGAAAGTAATGTAATCTTGCTTTATATCATAGTGTTTAGAAGTTGTTAAATTTCTGAAAGTATGGAATTCAGACTCATAGCTTAGAAGCAGTGCTCTCCTAAAAGGAAGTCAAGTCAATATTCTGGGGCATGCTCTCATACAAAGATGCCACATAGAATATGTGCTCTGATACGTGTGCTTCAACAATGTACGCTTTATTCAGAAGTTATGAACAGTCTGAATGTCTGATACACTGGAGAATATCAGATCCAACACTGATACTTGAGAAGTATAGTGTTTTGGTTGCGATATTAGAATCATGGTACAAAAGCGCTGATATGTAATGAGTGGCATTATTCAATCAGGCTTAAATCAAGTTTTGATTCTTCATCAAGTGCTGATAGAAACTAGGTTCTGAGATGAAGACCAGGTGTTCGAGTCAGACTCTAATGAGTTGCTGTAGGAAGTGCTACTTCTCTATTCTTATGTTTTGAATTCTCAAAATTTATTTTGTGAGTCTTGGGCTCAGGGGGAGACTCTGAACAAGCTTAAATGAATTTTTTGGTTTAACAGATTTAGGGGGAGCTGTGAACTTAACTCTGAATTTGTCAGTTACAGTGATTACCCGATATAAATTGTTCTATCAAAATACATGGTTTCATCTCATCAAAATAGGGGAGATTGTAAGAACAAGAAGTGTTTCTACATCTGGCCTTGAGATTTTGATGATAACTTTACATGTTATCTTAGAGAACAATTGTATACAGTAATGGTTTCATCTAATGTGTAGCTGCTTCTATAATATTTTGACTCTAGTACAAGGCGTGTGGCGTCGTCAGGTTCTGAATATACACTTTGGAAGAAAACATGTGGTTACATGTTTGGGTAAAGTCAAGGTTTTGAACTGATCTTCTGCAACGTGTCTAAGGAATGTTAGTACAAGAAGTTTTAATCGTGACTTTGTTGTTTAGCTTTGGAGGCCTTCTAAAGCTTTACTTATGTGTGTTACAAGTTCTGAAGATAATTAAGACAAGGTTCTGCTGAAAAAGTTTTGATGATCTAAAGAAAAGAAAGTTCTTACAACCAAGTGCTGAAGACTCTGAAGACAAGGTTCTGTGTGATAAGTTTTGAAGACTCCAAGACTTAGGTTCTAAGGATTAAGAAAGATTCTTCTGCAACAAGCTTCAATGTTCAACATTAAAATATCTAAAGCCTCTGAAGATAAAGAAGAAAAGTTCAAAATGGTTAACGTGTTATAGTGTACAAAAGGTACATAAAGTGACTGTGACCTTTACTCTTCTAGAGTGGCGCAAGGACAGTTCTTTTGTACTTGACAATGACTACTCTTATAACCGTTGAGAACAAACAACTAGATTTTCGATTTACCTTTCTACCCTTTCAATGGATCTCTTTTACAAGCTATAAAAGGAAGAATTGGAAGCTGAAGAAAAGTAAAAAAAAACTACACTACAACGACAAATCTATCGGTTCAAATCAAGCTCAACAAAACTACACCACAACACTGTGCAAAATCTGTAGAGAAATCATTTGTGTATAGTTTTGTAAATAAGGAAGGAGTAGTTGCTCGTATCATAAAGTAGAACACTAGGTGTTTTCATTATGCTGAAAAGTCTGTGTAATCTGCTTACAAAAAGCAAATCTATAATACACTAAAAGTACTCAACTGTTGCTGAATGATACCTTGAGAGATCGAGTGAAGGTCTAATATCAAGAAGACTCTTGTTGCGTCTTGAGTGGATATACAGTAAGGATCGAAAGACTTATTGGGGGTGCCAATAAGGTTGATCAGACATATTATGGGTTATCCTGTAATCAGTTTGGTTATAGTGGATTAAGTCCTTGTTGAAGGTGAAATCATCCTTGAAGGGGTGGACTAGAGTAGCTTAGTTAACAAGGAACCAGGATAAAAATCATTGTGTTCATTTATTGTTTTGTTCTAAGCTAACTTGTTCAGTCACCAATGAAAATATTTTATTTGGTGAAAACCAAATTAAAACCCCCATTTCTTGTGTTTCTCACACCTTCAATTGGCATCAGAGCTCCGGTTCTGGTATTGGTAGTTATCAAACACTTAATTGTGTCAGATAAAGATTCATATGAGTTTTTCGTTGAAGAAACACAATGGTTGAACCCATACCAACAACAATTGAATCCACACTAGTTGTTGTTGCATCAAATTCAAACAATAAAAGTTATAACGTTAAACCTCCCATTTTTTATTGAGAAAAGTTTGAATACTGGAAAGATAGACTAGAAAGTTTCTTTCTAGGTCATGATATTGATCTTTGGGATATGGTAGTCAATGGTTACATACCTCCTACAGATAATAATAGAAAAGAGATATCTAGGAGAGCTATGACTAATTAACAAAAGAAACATTGTAAAAGTTGAACAATAACCTAACTAGTTTCTTTGGTACTTTTTGGACAGATGGAGCCTGACTTTCTTGTGTAGCCGACTTAGTAACAGTTGTTGCATTTCTCCTGGAATAACTGCAAGTTTTTTTATCCTTCTTGTATATCCTACTATTCTGACCATATTCTAGGCATTTCTTAAATTTGTGGCTTGTATTAGTTCTTTGCCACTTGGTCTGGTTTTCCTTATCTAGCTTCCTTCTTCTTAATTTCTTTGGACTTCCTGGACCACATTTAAACATTAGTGGCAAAATGATAGGATTTATGGTCTTTGGCCATTTTTCCCCATTTATAGGAGTGACAACTTCATTATAGAATTTTGTGTAAGTATACCTATGATAATACACTTGCACATACTTGACAGGATCATCAACCTACCTATGTATTGCACTAACACCATGTCTACATGGGACTCTAACCAAATACACGTGTTACCTAAAATGTTAATCTACTTGTATATGTTATAGACCAAGTAGCACTCTTTTTTATCTCTTTATCTAATCTCATAAGTGGCTTAGACATTATCGCACCCTTGTATTTTTCTATATTTTCCCTAAGTGTGGAAAACCCACCAATAAGGTAATTCGCACAAACATTGTGATACATAAATGTAAAATGAAACTAAACACGTTAGTAAATATGCATACATTTTTTTATTAGTAATTAAATACCATCTATTATCTCCAATATCTTCAAGAAGAAATTTAACAAACTAGCTCCAAGAGTCCTTGGTTTCATTCTCTACTACCCCCAAAAGCAATAGGAAAATACTGATTATTGGGATCCCTTAAAACATCAATCAATAATATTCCATCATACCTGGTCTTTAGGAGGCATCCATTTAAAACTATAAAGGGTCTATAGGCTTGTGTCAAGTCCTTTTTTGTCCCATTAAAATACATGTAACATCTCTCAAATCTTGGTTCCAAGCCTGGTCTAAATCTATTAATATTTAACTTAAATGTGTTTCCTGGTGAATCCCTCCTCAACTCTGCTCCATATGACCATAATAAACTATGTTGCTTACTTGAACCCCCTTCTACAATTTGTCTAACAATCTAACCAGCTTTGAAAGCCTTACAACAAGTTATCTCAGTTGCAAACCTCAACCTTACATATGACACTACTTCATTTAACTTCATCTTATTATTGTTCTTTAAATTGTCAACCATCATTTTAGCTACCCATTCATCCTTAAATCTATTGTTGAAGAACCATCTCCCATATTTATGTTTATGAAAAAAAGTCTTAATCTTGAATGTTGTGCTCCTTAAAACCTTACTACATTAAATAGTGTAGTTACAAAGTTTCTTATGTTTACATACAACCTACACCTCATGGAATCATTTTTGGAAAATCTAAACTCCTTACCATTTAAAACATTATACTCTAGTATAGCCTTATTGAATTGCTTCATAGAGGAAAAATCTATTTCAACCTTGAATGTGAAATCATTTGTCATTGGATCTTCTTCATTAAACCTAATCAATTCAGGCATGTCATCACAACTATCTTCATATGCTCCACTATCAAGTTCGTCAATCATGTAGTTTTTTCTATGACATGCTCCTTTTCCATCTCTATTGTTGAAAAATTAATTATGGGTGGTTCATTAGGTACGTCATCATCAACATTATCCCTCCCATTATCAGCTTCATGCAACCCTTCATCAACCCCTTCAACAAAGTCTTCATTAAAATCATGCATTCTCTCTTTTTCATTGTCTTCAAAGTCTATGCAATTTAGAGTTTCATCACTTGATTCACTGCACTGACCATTATTTTCATCTTCACTGAGACTTTGTTTCCCATTATTTTTCTCTCTTAACCTCTCCATATGTGTCAACTCTCCTATAAATGGTTTGGCCTCTATATAAATTTCAACTTCACACTCATTCTTCTGAGCAAACATAGATAACAATTATGCATCCTCATCATTTATAAATGGTTTTAGATATTTTTACAAACTACCAACTTCTTATTCCCACCACACTTTCACTCCATCAACATTAAATTATGAATCCATAACCTTAATTAGATCACCAGCTTCAAAGAAGGACTAGTAATCACTATCTTGACCATTGTATGCATATATATATATATATATATATATATATATATATATATATATATATATATATATATATATATATATATATATATATATATATATATATATATATATATATATATATATATATATATTCACCTTCATATCTTAAATTGAGTTCTTTTACAACAACTCATATGTTAAAGGTTTATTCATAAAAATTCTTCATAAATACAACAACTCAACCAAGAAACTATTAATTACGCATTAAATATTTTGTCAATGTGTAACCCTAAAAACTACACTCAACAACATCTTATTATATTCCCATTTTAGATGCAGATGAAAACTGTAGGACATACAAAAGTGACACAACACTGAAAAACATAATAGAGAAATAAACATGTGGGACAAACCTGTCTTGAACAAGAAACACCAAGGACCATAGCTTCCAATGAAAACACCAACCTTCGTACACAGTGACTTGAGTTCCTAAACCATCATGCACATTGGCTTGAGTTTGTCAAACTCCGTTAACAACGACTTGTATAAATGATGAGGATGATTGATCTGAGAAGATGAGGCACAATGGTATGATATTAGGGTTTCTGAATTGGGTTTCAAATGAAAATAAATGAAGAGTCCAGATGTGGTAACTTACATTAACCCCAATAAAATCCTATGTGGTATTATTTGTTACTGCTAATTTTCAAATTTCTACTACCTATACCGCCTCATCAGCTTTTGTTATTAAGATTTAACGTCAGGGACCAAAATTGTTGACAACAAATCTTTGGGGGATCATTCTTTAACGAAATTTTTTACAGGCACTAAAAGTGAAAATTGCTTACTTTATAGGGACTAAAAAGATATTTAACCAAATTTGAAAACATCTAGTACCCAATATGAAAGAAAGAGTGATATGTAAGGGATAAAATGACAGAAGCACAAAGAGGTACATAACTCCAAGATTTAAGATGATTATCCAAAAAGTTATCTTATCCTGACATAAGCCAAAAGACAACCTTAAAAGTCCTCAAATGTGTGTGTTTAAATATGATCTGACTGATTTTGTAGATAGCTTACAAATTCATTTATTTTTACTCTTGCACGTGATTGAGTGGACACCCTTACAATTGAGTTCATAATGGTGAGTAGAGAGGTAGGTTAAGTATTGGTGCTAGAAAAACTAACATGAATTAGTTAAAAAAGTAGGGAACAAATATCTCGATCAACAAAAGAAAGTGACATTCATGTGGTAAGGTTTATAAATTATTTCTAACAAATTTTTAGCATGCAGACAGGTTACTTGAGGGAAAGAAATAGTTCAAGTTTGGGGTTGTGATAACAGGCTACCAGTTCACGTTATTTAGTAAGAAAAATCAACTAATTCTGACAAAAATTGAGAAAGTTAGAAGCATTTATGTGAAGAAAGCTGGAAAAGGCGCTTTTGGGCGAAGAAAAGAAATTAGTGAGAAAATTGGTGGAAAAGGGAACAAAAACACACTGAGCCCCTGGAAAACATGTACCCATGTTGCCTCTAATGTGCGAGGCAATGCGCTCACACTGAAAACACACCCACGTTGAAGTAACGGTGGTGCAACGTGCCTGTTTTACAGCTTTTCGCTAACACGTTTTTGACTGCTTTATAAAGAGAAGAAATAGGAAGAATTATGGGTTCGACTACCAAGACCTGAAAGTGATGTTTAAGAGCAATTTTGGAGGCTATTGAAGATATTGAATAACTTTGTCCTTAAGGATTCTTCATGTTCTTCGAATCTACACTATTGGTATTGATTAATTTAAACATGAGTAGCTAGATTCCTCTTAAGTTAGGTTTTATTTGATGATTAACCCATTTTTACTTGGTTGGGACATATGATCGGATGATATTAATGTAATTACTTTAAATCTTTTTTATTATCCAGTTATTGATTGTGCATATTTCCTTTTGTTTGTTACGTCATTCAAATTGATCTTGATAATAAAAGCTGATGTGGCACGACACGTGGTAGTTTCAGCTGTCAAAGATGCTGACGTTGTACGCCACATGACTAAGGTCAACATCATACTTGAGCCTATATCGCTAATCGACAGCTAAAATCGTAGCTAATCTCTATAAAATTCAAAAACCAGAAAATTTTCATATTGTCCATGTGAACATGGCTTTCTAAAGCGCCAATTACTTATTATTGGAACTCGATTGCAAGGGCATGGCTGCAATATCAATATTCAGTATTTTAGAAAAACGTGAATCTATCCCTTTGAGAAGAAGACATCTATCAGTTGGCAATTAAATTAAACAAACATGCTCTCTCTCTCTCTCTCTCTCTCTCTCTCTCTCTCTCACACACACACACACACACACACACACACACACCAAAATATAGATGAATGGACAGTTTTCAATAAGCAATTAAAGTTGTTATTCGAAGTTTGGGAGCTGAATAGGAAGATGAGAGGATTGTTGCAGTGCAGATCTTATTGAGATGCATGAATTTGCTACATATTAGCTACAAAATTTTCTAAGTTCAAATATGATGTTGACCTTAATCATGTGGCATGACACGTCAATATCTTACCACACTAATACTGCCACGCGTGTGCCACATCAGTTTTGTTAATAGACATTAACATGAAAGTTCAAAAATGTGAACAGAAAATATTAGAAAGATCATTCTTTAAAAAAAATTAAAAATTAAAAACGAAGTTTCACGTAAAGATCAAAAAAATATTTAACCCTAGATATAAAACAACCCCAATCTTTCTCATTTCATTATATTTCACTGAAGTCTGAACAATTAGCTTAAGAATATAGTAGCATATACAAAACGTGATTTTTAACTGTTTCTTTAGCGGCGGCATGTATATATAATATAGTAACAATAATATATTTATTGGGTCAAATCAATTGTCATCGCTGTAAAGCCTCTTTAGAAAAAACAAAATATTTAAGCCATGACAAAAAGAGTTTGGACTTTTTTTCAAAAATATTTTTCTTTTCTAACATCTTCTGACTTTAAACTGTGAAATATTGAAATTTAAGATTAGTTCATATTCCATAGACTCCGTGTAAAAAATGTAGAGGCTGTTTATAGCTTCTTTTTATTTTTTATTTTTTAAAAAGCAATAAACCTGTTAAAATAAATAAATTTTATATTTAAAATATTTTTCATAAGAACATTATAAACATTTATATCTAAAGAAAATGACAGAGTTGATAGTGTTTTTATTTTACTTTAAAAAACACTAAGCGTCGGCAGGTGATACTTTAAGAAACTAAACACTATGAATCTTTTTACTAAACCTCCAGAAAAACAGAATAGGAAAATAGATGCAATGAACATTGTGAACACAAGCATATGAATATGGCCCACATGCAGACGAACCACATTCATATTACTTATCGCTTCATCTCGATGTATATTGCACAAACTATTAAATGATTTATAGTGTATATCTTGGTGTATTTTAATATTATATATGAAATGCTTGTAAATTTGAACTTTAACATACATGATTATTGATAGTTTCTTAAATTTTCAGTAAATTGAAGTTTTTAACACTGAATTAATAATGTGAAAAAATTATTTGTGTTGTGTCTTGAAGGTGTGAAGAAAAAGCAAGAAATTGAGGGTTTGAATTGAGTTTTTCTTTCATATAAAATTTTCGCTTTTAAGTATCATTCGTTGAACAATACTTCTGATTGTTGCTTCTAAATAATGCTTTTAATTTGGTTTAGAAAACATAAATTTTAAAACGTAAGCAAAAGTAAAGAACACATGATATATCCTGGTTCACTTGAAAAACCCTCAAGTTAATCCAGTCCACCTTTCCGAGGTGATTTCGCTAAGTGATTAAGAGTCCGTAGATAACTACGGATGAAAATGGTACTAACACCTTTCTTTTTCATAACTTACTCCCCGAATACAAAATCTATCAAGGTATTTCCTGTTCTTTCCACCATTTCCTAAATATTGGATAAAAGAAAAGTCAGTGACTACTCTAGCTATCCGCAACATTTGCGATAAAACGCAAAACAAGTTAATTCTTCCACCGTATTACAGAACTGACGACTCTGCTGGGGATTAGAATTAAAAAAATAGGGGTTACCTTAGAGTCTAGATCACTTTATTTTCTTTTACTTGTCTGCTTTATTTGCTTTAAATTTAAGGGTTGCTCGGGTTTATGTTTCTTGCAAAGATCCTACACCAGGATCTAGGGTACCCTAGGTAAGTAGCAATAGATCATGGAAATTATACGGTGTAGACCGATATTGTTGAAGTGATGGTTACGTTAGTGTGACACTTTGTTTTGTACCAATGTTCCTTGAGTCAGTCAAGGATAACATTAGGCTGCCGCGTGGTGTCATAAGCACTAACTGACTTTTAGAACCTTAATTGACCCATCTTGGTCATTAGAAGGTAGTGAGATAGTCGGATTTGGTGAAGTCCAGAGTTGATTGATACTCGATGCTACACTCATTGAGATTTAACTCGCGAGATGTTTTGGTTGAAAATCAGTTGATGTACTAAAATAAAACCTTCGAGAAAGATCCATGATATGAGATCCCTAGAACCTGGTTATTATTTTTAGGACAGGTTGAGCCAACTGAACTTCAATAGAAAATGGTACTTACCTACAGAACCCATGTAAGCCTTTAAACCTAAGCCTTTGTGTAATTTGTTTGTGTTTGCTATCTTGTTTAAACATGACATCATGACATCATAACATCGCATTTTCACTAACCATTTCAAGGATCTCAGGGACCTGTGATACAGGTTTAT